AAAATTTACTAAAGGGAGTTTGATTTTTAGGAACCCCCCCCCAGCCATAATTCCAATCCATTCCAATACAGTTGTTCAACAGGCATTTATATAGATCTGTTCTGAGAGAAGCATTGAGATAAAAGATGTGGGGCATGTACAAAGAGCAACACACCTCTTGTGCTACAGGACTTCACAATCTAATTTAGAAGATGAGACCTGAAAATTAGGAGGTTTGACACTATTTCTGGGAGGTTTGCGGTTTTGTCAAGGTCTCTGGGAAGCCAGAGCCTTCTGGGTAGTGTATAAGCGACAGGGAAGACAGATAACATGGGGTGAGTTAATCCAGCTTTCTGATGGTGGAATAAAGGTTTACTGTATTGTGCTGTCTCCATCATGTCACTTTGAGCACCCTGCCTTGGTTGACTTGTCATTCATTCATTATATCAATGTTTACATACCAGTTATGGGTCAGACCTGGGTGAATAAGACAGCTTCTCCCCTCAAAGAGTTCACAGTTTAATAAGGAAGACAGTTAAGCAAAAAGCAGCTCATAGTAGGGTGGAGATTGAGGTCACCCCCTCTGTTGACACCAGTGAGTGGCCAGGGAAGGGAAGACCCTTGTATGCCCTCCAGACCCTGCATGCACCCTTGTGATGCTGCACACTCCAAATCTCACCTTAACTAGAGCCCTTGGGTACTCAAAACGACCCCTGTTGAGCTGTGCTGAGTTCTTATGAGACCCTAGAATGTACCCAGAATTCCCCCTGATATTCAAACTGTGCTGACACCCTAACTAGAGTTCTACTCTGCCTTCCTCTGCCTACTGGTATATACTTGCTACTTGAAGGCAGAGTGCAGATTCTTTAGCTTTAATTCTCTGTCATTAAATTTCTGGTGGCCAGTGTGGCCACGGAGATGGTGTGCTGGGACAGAAATAGCCCAGGCTTGGGGTCAGGTATATGGGATGACTTGACCAGCCAGAGAGGATACTAATTGCCCCTTCTTAGAGATGGTGTGGGATTCACCCTGACAATACACACAAAGTGCTCAGTCTAGTGTCTAGAAATGGCACCCATTACTATTGAGCAAGAAGAGAATGGACTCTATCCTCAAGGATCAGCAGGTGGCTGTTTAACAACAGAGCACAGTCGATGAAATTCACTGTGATGGGGTTATACCCTTGCTCTTAGGTGCTGCTGGATAATATCCTCCTAACCTTATTTGGGTGTATCGGTGAGGACAAATGGGGGTAGAGAGCTGCAGAGCTCAGGATGTGATTTTCTTCTCTCAGCTCCAAATCATACAGGTGATCCCCAACACACTAAGTCTCGAGACAGTCCTTCAGAAGTAAATGTTCTAAACATTCAGGGAAAAGAACCCACTGTGAGATTTGATAGCTAAAGAAGGATTCAGAGGGAAAGAAGATTTGAGCTGTGCCTTGGAAAACAGGCATGGCTCTAACTGGGGCAGCTGGGGGAGGCAACTCACATGGTAAGTAAAGGTGAAGAGGCTGGAACAGTGAATGTGTCCTAAGGACAGTGCGCAGAGCAGGTATTAAGAGCAGGGAGGGAGTGTAGGGAGATAACTGGGAAACTGGAAAGGTCAGTTGGCCTGATAGAGGAGAGCCCTGAATGTCAAGCAAAGAGGTTTAATCCATCAGAGGTGGGAAACCGTTCACTTTTTTGCTTGTCTATTTGTTTGTTTTCAGCAGAGGAATGATCCTAAAAAGGTTTTATTTCACAAAGACTAACATGCTGTTGGTTCCTAGTTGCCAATGTGTTGACCCACTTTCTTTACTTGCCAAGCTGCTCCGTTGGCTCATTATGGCCACACTCGTTACCCGATGTGTTCCAGATTCCATCCCATGCCTTCAGAGAGTCCCCATGTCTCATTCAGTCCCTTATCGATCTTTCCCAAAGTGTCTTCCTCAAATCATTAGACCTAGACGAACTGCATGAAATAAGGACTCCTTGATCATGGAAGTTTGAAAAACTCAGTATGTATTTCTACTTTTGAAGACTTACATTGCTTATTAAAATATTAACAATTAAAAGGGTCAGAGTAAAGAAATCTATTTTATTTTAACTGAATGTTTTGAGTATTTCTCATGTTATTTGACCATGGATTTTTGTTAAAGAACATAGCCTGCGAATGTAGCATTGTATGGAATAATTTGCTCTAATCTAATGGCTGTTTCTTATTCTCATGTCCTTGACCTCTGTGGAATCTCTGAAATAGACCATCACCCAGCTTTCTCGAAGTCCTGCCTCTCTTATCATTTCAGTGCTGCATCTTTGCCTTATACATATTTTTAAAAATTAATTAATTAATTAATTAATTAATTTTTGGCTGTGTTGGGTCTTTGCTGCTGCGCAGGCTTTCTCTAGTTGTGGTGAGCGGGGGCTACTCTTCATTGCGGTGCGTAGGCGTCTCATGGCAGTAGCCTCTCCTGTTGTGAAGCACAGACTCTAGGCGCACGGGCTTCAGTAGTTGTGGCACGCAGGCTCAGTAGTTGTGGCGCATGGGCTTAGCTGCTCCGCAGAATGTGGGATCTTCCTGGACCAGGGATCAAACCCGTGTCCCCTGCATTGGCAGGCGGATTCTTAACCACTGCACCACCAGGGAAGTCCCTGCCTTACTCTTATTAAAGGTTTCCTCCTCAGGCCTTTAGGACAGCCGTGATACAACAGAGAGATGCCAACAAGTGTCTAATGTAGGGGGTCAACAATTGGCTGGTGAACCATGTGCCAGGTTCACCCACGGGACCTGCTTCATTTGACACACACCGTTTTAAAATCAGGAAAGTTTATATACACATCTGAAGTTAGAGCATCATCTGAAAAATGGAACAATCTGGGTAACACTGAGCATTTCCATGAGTTCTCAGGTTAGTGTCAGTCCCCATCACCCTCTAGCGAGCACACCTGGCCAACTATCTGGTCACCATTAGTATATGTGTTTGTGACACTTGCTTTAATGGGATATCGATATGGAGGTAGATACATACAATAAACCTGTACTGAGCTCCTCCAGTCTGTCCTCTGTGTGCTCTTGCCTGTGCTAGTTTCTGAGAATACAGAGAGAAAGCCATGGCCTCTACTCTTAAGGGCTGCTGCAGCTCACCTCCAACAGATATAAATATTACGTATATATTAAGTAATTGTTCAGCATTGCTATCAGCTGTTTCCAAGCCCTCAAACTTGTCTGAAGAAATAAGAGAGGAAGAGCTCCCAGAATAAAGCTCTGAGCTGCCATCACTACTGCTAACACCCCATCCACGAAGGTAGCTAAGGTTCTACCACCATCTGGACTAAAACATGTCATTCATATCAATACTGGATGAGCTGAATTCAAAGTGCTTGTTGGAAAAATGCTGAAATATGGATGAAGTGGTGGTAGATATGGCAGTGCTCAGGGTACATGTTAAAAATAGGCTATAACCGGGCTTCCCTGGTGGCGCAGTGGTTGAGAGTCCGCCTGCCGATGCAGGGGACACGGGATCGTGCCCCGGTCTGGGAAGATCCCACATGCCGCAGAGCGGCTGGGCCCGTGAGCCATGGCTGCTGGGCCTGCGCGTCCGGAGCCTGTGCTCAGCAACGGGAGAGGCCACAACAGTGAGAGGCCCACATACAGCAAAAAAAAAAAACAAACAAAAAACAAACAAAACAAAACAAAAAAATAGGCTATAACCTCTTATTAGATCATCCAGTTAAGAAAAAGAAGCAATTGTGGAAAATCCCATATACATAGAATGGGAAGAGGAGGCAGTATAAAACAGTAATTATGAGTGTTGTTCTAGAGTGTTGGTTTGAGTCCTAGCTCCTCTGCTTCCCGGCTGTGTGACTTTGTATAATTTGCTTTCCCATTCTGCGCCTCAGTATGCTTTTCTCCAATAGGGGCATATAACAGTAGCTGCCCCATAAAGTTGTGGTAAGAATTACAAGCTGTTTTAAAAAAAAATTATTTATTTTTGGCTGTGTTTGGTCTTCGTTGCGGCGCACGGGCTTTCTCTAGTTGCTTCGAGCAGGGGCTGCTCTTTGTTCCGGTGCTTGGGTTTCTCACTGCGGTGGCTTCTCTTGTTGCAGAGCATGGGCTCTAGGCCCGTGGGCTTCAGTAGTTGTGGCTCGCGGGCAAGCATGGGCTCTCGGCCCGTGGGCTTCGGTAGTTGTGGCTTGTGGGCTTAGCTGCTCTGTGGCATGTGGGATCTTCACGGACCAGGGCTCGAACCCGTGTCCCCTGCATTGGCAGGCAGATTCTTAACCACTGCGCCACCAGGGAAGCCCCAAGAATTACAAGCTTTGATAAACACAGTAACATGATTGGAACAGCCACTTAGTAAATGCTCAACAA